ATTCTTTTTTATCTCTTCTTTCTCTCCCTAGAATCTCATCATCATTTCCTAAGAGAGAGTAATTAAACACTGACTTCGGCTATGCAAACATGATCTATCTAAATAAATGATGATGAGATTGTAGAGAGAGAACGAAGAGATAAAAAGAAGTAGAGAGAGAAAAAAGAGATAAATATTAAAAAGAAGTAGAGAGAGAAAGAAGAGATAAATATTGAAAAGAATTAGAGAGAGAACGAAGAGATAAACATAAAAAGAATTAGAGGTGAAAGAGATAAATATAAATAGGATAAAAGGATTTACGGTATTTTAAGTGCCATATAAGATGGGTTAGTTTTTACGGTACTTAAAATGCCGTATAATGAGTTTTAATTTTTACGGTACTTAAAGTACCGTAATTGGCTTCACGGTCATGGCTAGAGTTTTACGGTACTTAAAGTATCGTAATATTACTTGAAGTTACTACGGTATTTTAAATACCGTATAAAATGATATGTATTACGGTAGTCTTACTACCACGAAGGTCATTTTGGTAAAAAAAAAAAATCGAAAATGAGGAAAAATAGAGTAGATGAGGTAAACGAAAATTTGGATTTTTTTTTCCAATTAAGCTTAAATTAAGGTATATTTACGATAATTTCCCATGAATATATTGATACTTCTTATGTTTCCACCTTTCAATGTCTGATTTTTTAAGAAAGGGTAAAATTACGTGACATATTCCATTACCTTTAACACAAAGATTTACTTATGATTAACGAATTGACACAAAAAATCAAGACTCAAACAGAGAAAGATTATACAAGTATTGCTTGTTAACTTCAGGAAAATTGACATTATCTAAACTAGCTAAGACACCTTCCCGTTCTAAAACAAAAGAGTGTAAAGAAACTGAGGAAGCAGACCCGGTTAAGGACTTTGGATTTTACTTGTCATTGGCTAAAGATCTACTGAAGATGCTGAAAAATGTCTAGCTCTCGACATTTTCATTTGGGAAATGGGGTATTTTGAGTATTTTTGAGTATTTACGATATGCTTTGGAACATGTTACATTTTTACTAGTAAAAGATGAAGCTTCATCATCATTTTTTTCTTTTTTAGATGCTAATTTTTCATCAAACTTTATTTCTTCAGGGGTCAGTTTCTTGCAGATAGTTTTGAAAATCGGACTACCAATTATTGAACTTTCCTTTTTTTTCGATATATACTGACATATCGTTTACATCTGATCTTTCAAAAGCTAGAAATATTCTTCCCCACTACACAATTTCATCTATCGGAAAGGGTGCACCTTCCCATTTGATTTTGCCTATGGTTGCATCATCAAAATCTTATTGTTTAAGATAACTGTCTAATTGAAGATCTCTAAATGAGTAGTGATCTTCGCCTCTATGAGCAACCACATAAATAATGAATTTGTTTGGCGGACTTTCATTTTATATGTCTTCTTGAGTGATTAGTTCAGTACCAAACATGCAAACTTCAATTTTCTAGAAAATTATTTCTTTTTCCACCATGCTTTGCTGTGAGAATCCCACCATGCTTTGCCGTGAGAAAGAGCGAGCCAAATGATTGAACCTGTGGGCTCTGATACCAGAAAGAGGTAATATGAGATCTGCAAAAGAAAGGGTCAACAATGTAGCAGGAGAGATGGTAGATAGAATTTTGAGCTTTGATTGATTGGAATGGCAAGGCAAGATGAAGAGGGCAAGCTCAGATGGGCTCTGTAGCAATTGCAAAGAGAAAGTAGGGAAGAGAGAGAGAGAGGAGGGCATTACCAAAAAAAGGAAAAGGGCAATGGTCAGCACTATTCCCAAGTAAAACTTGTATTACAAAAAACCGTCATAAGGGATTCCAAGTCATAAGGGATTCCAACCTTTTTTGGGAACATGCATATGATAGTTGGGACTCATTTTATGGATGAGCAAAACCAAGATATAGAATCAACAACATGTGTCAAAGCTATTTCACCCTCAAAAACCAAGATGCACAAAACTTGATTTTGCATATACTAGGTCCTAAATAAACTAATGGCTAGGATTTAATATTAATTTGGATTTCTTATGGGTTCTTTTTTTTTTTTGTCGCAGAATAGGATTCGTATGATCGACCTCAAATAGTTGGAATAAGGTTCGGACAATGATGATGATGAAATACGTTAGGGTCTAAATATTTCTTATATAAATATGCAAGTATTTGACAAGTAAAATATCAAGAAAGAACGTTTTTTTTTTTAGCGGACTTCCTTGCATACCCACAAAGAGTCTCAAATCTCTTAACCTTTGGGATAGATTTCACTACACAACTACATAAATAATATATTCTCTCACCTTTTTTTTAAAAAAAAAAATTGATTAATTTTATTTTCTTTCTCCATTTTTTAGGCGTTAAATGTCTAATATGCAAATTTTCCTAGATAAATACTCCATTTATGACCCTTTAACATAATATTTGGATAATGAGGAATTAGATTATTACCATTAGAAAAGGCATGGTTTGCAGACAGTACAATATTTGGAAATTTGACAATCTGGATCGGAATCGCCTGATCCAAATCAAGAATCATTCTAACCATTCTGGATCCCATAATATATCGGGATCTGGCTAAGTCCCCTAAAACCGGTTGGTTCAGAGTGGTCCATACCAGTTATGTTAGACAGTATCGGATGCTTCAACCGATTCTTAACTTTTTTCAGTTGAAAAATTGTACTGGTGATGATGGTTCTTAAATTTTTCAATCTGGCTCGAGAGTCGATCATTTTGGATCCCAATAGTCGCCCTAAAATTGGCTGGTTTAGTGCGGTTCATACCAACCAGTTCTTTCTTAAATTTCCAATAGTCACCCTAAAATCGGCTGGTTTAGTGCGGTCCATATCAGTTCTGTCAGAGAGAACCAGACGCTTGAACCAATTCTTAACTTTTTTAATTAAAAAAATATAATGGTGATGACGTGGCCCTTGAATTCCCCACAATATAATGGGTGATGACATGGCCCTAGTCTTAGCTTCAAGTATGAAATGTAGATATTTAATTATTTTTACATTGCCTCTATTTTTTTTTTTTTTTTTTTTGTAATTCAACCAATTGGTGAGAATAGAGTCTCAAACTTCATCATGGAGCTTGTTAAAAGGTAAGTTTTATATTTCCTTTCATTCACGCAATTTTTTGATGTGGGACAATATTGTTTTTCTCTTCTATTGAATAAGACACTCTTCATTTGCAAGAAACATATGCATATAAACTATTTTTTATCAACTTAAAAATAGCTTTAAATTATTATTTGTCTCGTATTGGATCTTTCATTGAGTCCTACCGTGCTATTGTGCTCCAACATAACTACAATCGGCTCTTACATATCCCATTACATAAGCTATTTGCATACAAATGTGGGTGTGGTTTCTATAAGCTACTAGTGACTCGTGAATAAACTCCATCTAATATTGTACTAGGATATGGGATTAATATTTAAATATTATTGAAATTTTAAAAAAAATCAGCTCATGGGATATTAAAAAAAAAAAAATACTAATACTATTTTATTGAACATTTTAAAAAATAGTATTAGCTATTTGAATATTTAAAAAAAAAACAATAACATTAGCTCATACTACTTTAGAATTTATTTTCAAGTTGTTTTATGAATTATTCTACATTGCAAGTATGAATTTATTTTTCTAATTTTATTAAAAATAATATCAATTTTATGTTTCTAAATTCTATATTTTGTCCATATTAATTATTACACATTAGATTCATTTATTTGTGGGGGTCATACCCTTCTCTCGATTAAGTCAAAAGGTCCAAAACTATTGTAGACTTCTTCTTCTTCTTTTTTCCACTATAAATTTAAGTCAAAGATATCGATTCTATTGCATCGAGCTACATTTTAAATTTCATTTTGATTATAAAATGAATATAATGGATAACAAATCCTTAGACATGAGATAAGTTTTCAATATTTATGTAGTTTCAACAAAACAATAAAAAACTATAATGAAATTCCACTATTTTTTTTAATATATATATATATTTATTTATTTATTTTATTTTTAAAATAAAAAATAAAACTCGGTTTTTGGGGATGGGCGATCCGAATCACCAATCCATTTTTTCAAAACCTTGCTAAAATTTGAGCCCATACCTAAATCCAAGGTTGGGTCTACCTATTGGGTCTCGGGTTTGATCAGGTCCATTGCCACCCCAAGTTAAGGTGTTAGTTTATATTATAAAGTTTAGGCTTTATAGAAACTTTTTCCTCAAATTAAATGAGCGCGACTTTTAAAGGGAAAAGTATATGGAGATTTTTTACTTTTGATACAAATAGGTGATAATGACTTTTATCGGTCAAATTTTAAATAAGCAGGTTGTGAGGTTGCCAATAACTAGGCTTACAGTTCTAAAAAATTTAGAGAACTTTTTGACACACTCCAAGCAATCTAGATTGTCATCTAATGACCATGAGCAATTGTGACCACCTTGTAATAAAAATAAATGTTCTCGTAGTATATAATCTCCTTTCGTAACTCCCTAGTGCTAAGAAGAACATGTGCTTATAGTTTATGCTCCTAAACTGCATAATCTGCATGCATCATATCTAAATAATCAAAGTAAAGCGCACATTCAAATAGTGTCAACAAATGTGGTTTCAATATTGAAATTTTTTTTGATAGCTTTAAAATATATTTTCATCTTTAATTATAAAACTTAAAACTTAAAAAATAGTGTACATCGAATATATCTATGAAAGCTTTAAAATTTTGAAAATTGACTGTCTAAAAATGCGTTACAAGATGCATTATTTTCAAAACTTGAAATTAATTTTTTTTTGTATGTTAATGTATCTCGATGTCGAGATGATCAATTGGAAGATATTTGAGTATTAAAACAACCTCTTCTAGTGAAATTTTTTTTTATGTAAGCTCTAATTTGATAAACTTTTTTTCTATCTAAATTACCATCTACTGCATGCATCATATTCAGGCCCTTTGGTCAAAGGGCCTTAGATGTGGGCTTGTAGTCCATTGGCCCACATTGACCTCGTTCTTCGCCTTTCTGAGTCTCGTCTTCTCTTCACGGTTATTTACATTTTCGTGAGTTAGCAGCACCAGTATTCTCACTCCTTGCAACTTCTTATAGGGTTTCAAACGAGGCTTATAGAGCTATGTCTTTTAAAACCCTAGCTCGAGCCGGTTCCTCGTTGATATATCGGTTCTTCAGAGAACCCTCTAATCACCATCTTCTTCCCCTTTCATCAGGTAGCTCCAATTTTCTTAATACAAAACCTGAAGAACCCAGTAAGTTTGATGGGATCTCATCCCTTTCTGGAACTCTTTTTCTTTCAAAGAGAGTGCCATTAGAGCCAGAATCCGTAAACATTGATGGATTTTCTTCGCATCGGGAAACTTTGTCCCTTTCAAAGAGAGCGCAATTAGAATCGCTTCTCTGCGACATTCCTCAGGAACATGGGGGTCTGGAACTTCCCTCTGGAGTTGAGATTGATGGGTTTTCTTCTCCCTGTGGGATCCCTTCTCTGGAATTCTTTTTACAAGATGGTAAGTAATCATTTACTGTAAATTTTTTGTAACAAAAAAAAATCTTATTCTTCAATTTTTTTTTTTTGGTATTCATTTGTTTTTTCTTCATTTCCCCATCAATGTTTTCCCTGCTGAATCAATCTGAGAATCATGGTCGATGTTGTATTATTGTGTGGTGTTGTGGAAGTGGGTCGTTCTTGATGTTTGTTCGTTAATTTTTTTTCATGTTTTTAAACCTTATTTACATTCTTTTATTATAGTGGGAAAACAATTAAAAAAAGAAGAAGAAAGAGTTATCTCTTTAAATATGGTGATGCAAGAAAGTGAAATGATAGTTTTTTTTTCTCCCTGGAAGATTATACAGTTTGATATGTTGTAATGGCCAGGTTTCTGCTGTCTCCTCTATTATTTGGTGTTGCATTAAGCATGGGATTGGATTCACTTATTTATGTATTTTCTCAAACACAGTTAAGTGCATGACAAGTTCCACATATTTAATAGAAGGGATTTATCGGTACCCTATAGACAAATTGCCTGATAGCCTTGACTATTTTGAATTTCTTGACAACAGTCCAATATTAGTTGATATTACTTATTTTTATACAATGATGTGTGCTTATATGCAACTTTGTGCTCTTTTTTTGGGCGAGTCAATGGGGAGAGGGCCCCTACCCTTGGTAGGAATTGAGCCTAGGACGTAGCGTTGCAAATCGTCAAGCTCTAACCCAATTAAGGGCGGCATATTTTTCCTAACTTTGTGCACTTTAAATTATAGGCGTAACTATTTCAAAATTATGACTTGAAATGTTAAAATCTATTGTTCTATGGTGCTCTTTTTTGTGTGATTGAACATTCTGCGATTAGTATGAAGTCCTGGGTGGGTGGTCGGGTTCCTCGCTAGCAGTGGGTTCTTGTCATCTTTATAAGGAAGCTAAAGAGTTTGCCGTTAATCTGGCAAATTCGTGATTTTTACACTGAATTAGAGGTATGGAGTTTGATTATGTAGATTCTATTGTCTAAGGCTGGTTATAAGCATGTATCCAGACTCTGTAGATTGTAAAATAAACAAAAGAGGTGGAAAATAAATTAAACCTTGGCCTTCTCACTGGGGTGGTTGTATGACAGCCAAGGGGATTTCCTATTGGTAGACTTGTGAAACATGCATTTGAAATTCACCTCTGTAGGCAAAGCCTAAGTTCGTCCTACTATTTACAAACAACCTTTATGGCTATCTCGCACGGTTGATTTTGCATTTGAACTTTGAACTAGTAATAGTAGATTTCATTACACTTGTGAGAAATTCTACCAAAAACTTGATATAATTCAAATTCTTTAGTTGGATGGCATCCGCTTGTAGAGATTTTGATTTCACTCTTTTATTTTAGGTGGATGGTTGACGTGAGAGGGATCCTTTTAGTTTTTTTTTTTTTTTTGGTACAAGTCTTTTAGTTTCATTATATGCCCCATTGATACTGCTCACGTAATTGAAAAGAAAAAAGAGAATCTTAATGCTTTGAATTGTTAGAGGAAGTTGCTGAATAATGGGAAATTGAATGTTAAATTGTGAGGTAGTTGAAAAGTTAGTACTGGAGGAAGTGTTAGCATTGTATTGTTCCCATTCTATTGAGCACCAAGAAGCCAACAACAACTGGACTGGTTGGCTCTTTTGTAATACCTATATGATTCTGTGGTCACAATTAGAGATACTTCAAGGGCTTCCATGAATGGGTTAAGGCCAGAGATAGAGTACATTGGAATGGGCTCTCAAAGGATGTAGGGCATTGATTTTGAGGAGACCAATGATTACGAACCTTCTGAGAAAGATGGAAATGGCTCAATTTGTGGATTACATAGTTTTAGTGTGGACTGGATGTCATGATCATTATTCAGGTCTAATCATAGTAATTATAATATGGAATAGAAAGGGGTTTGGGATATATAT